AAGACAGCTACAACTCGGCCGTGAAATTAACCAGGGCCCGGGGGCTTCCTGGAAATAAGCCGTTCATTTCTGGCAAGCTCACACATCCAGGCAAACCTTATTGGTAAATGTTCTTTTGTTCATGCCGGACAGGTGGCCACAGCGTGAGAGGGACAGGCGGGCAGAAGAGAGAGCACTGTGTGGGAACATGGGCTTATAGAATGGCGATGTTAAATACTCGGCAGATCACACCCACTTTCCTCTTAGCCCTGGCTCCTGTCTGGATGTTGGGGCCTCGGAGAGTTTTTAGCAAACCCCCCACTTCACAGTGGAAAGGCAAACTGAATTGTAAAGATGCTGGGATTTAACAGCTCAGTGAAAGGGCATGAGATTTGCTCTATGAAAATCAGAGCAAGTTGCTTTCATCCCCCATGTGAAATGAATACCGGAGGGAGAAAAATATAAAGTTCATTTCAGGAGTGGATAACGAGAGAATTTCTCCTTTATGTGGCTCTGCCTAGAGGACGAAGAGGAAACCACCGCCCTCTTAGTGCTCGATTGACATTTGTGCCCCTTGACCTTGCCAGCTCCTAAAACTCTCCCAGGAGTTGGAAAGAGACATGCCAGCTATCTCTGTCCTCAGAGGTGTGTGTTTAATTTGTCTGGGTGGACTTGTGTACCTGCTTTTGATGTTCCAATGCAGTCAGGGCTGAGAGCCATGGCTGTAAGGTGGAGTTTTAAAGGGAAAGTCTACTGTCGCGGGCTGTTGTAGAGGCAGAGTTACCAGACAGGAGCACAAGATTCGGAGGGAAGGGATGCCAGTTAGTTTAAATCTTCTGGATCAAAATTTCCTTGGTAGGCAAATGCTATCATCCAACTGGGGAATTCCTAAGACTCCTCCAACTTTGGCATTGCCTGAGTCTAGGCTTGGCGTTCTTATCACCAGCAAAACAAATCCAAAAGCACAAGGGCTGGGGGGGTTGGGGGGGAGTGACACATGCTTGCAACATGGACCCTTGCGATGCTGAGGCAGAAGAACAGAGAGTTCAAGGTTAGCCTGGGCTACATGTGGAGGCCTGTCTCAAAGAACAATCAGAAACAAAACAAAACAAAGCCTAAAGGAACAGACATCTCCCCCATGCCCTGGCATCACCCACAGGTTGTCTGGTTGCTCTATGGACAGAAGGTACATCGACAGTTTCCACAACTGTCCCAGGTGAGAGTCATGTGCAGGGGGACGCCGCATCATCTTTAGATTGGACACAAGCGTGTGAAGTGCATTTACGTGCTAGCGGTCTGTGTGCACACAAATGTGCTTGGGGTAGAATGCCTAGCTGACAGGGTGGCGGGAATTCACACTTTGTCTTGGATTAATGCAGAAACACGGAAGCAGGGCAAACACATATGTCCATGTTGTCATAATTAGTCCCTGCTGGTGGGTCTGTGCACACAGTCAAGGAGTCATGCCAAGCAGCTGGGACTCCAGCCCGGGTTTTGTTCCCCGTTGGCTTCAGAGCAATCCAAACAACAGGTAAGATGCCCGGAACAACAGCTTCACCAGGGTGAAATTACTCCCAGTCACTCTTCACACTTTATGCATAGGAAAGCACTCAGTTCTAAGGCGGACTTTCTCTATTCTATTGGCAAAAGCGCTGAGGCCTGGGAGAATTTAACTGACTTTTCAGGACACACAACTAGGAAGCAGCGGCTACTATATCCAGGCCACATCTCTTAAGCTCCATCCCCCCCCCCCCCTTTAACCCATGCTGCTTCAGGCGCTTACCATAGCCACCTAGATGGCCAGGCAGGGCTGGAAGTGGGGTGGGACATACACACCCTCTGGGGGGGGGGATGACCAGAAGAGAGCTGACATCGCTGAGTTTTCCTCAGCACCCCACAAAATGTCAGGGATGAGGGTGAAGGCTGTTAACTTTGGCAGGAGGCGAGCACGGGGCAAATATGGAGCCAGGGATCCAGAGTGGGTGCCAGGGTTGGAGAAAAAGCTGGGTTGGTGGCACGTGTGCCTGGCGTGTGTGAAGCCCTAAGCTCAGTAGCCAGTATTAGAAATAGATGAATGAAGCCAGGCAGTGGTGGCGCACGCCTTTGATCCTAGCACTCGAGCACTCGGGAGGCAGAGGCCAGCCTGGTCTACAGAGCAAGTTCCAGGACAGGCTCCAAAGCTACACAGAGAAACCCTGTCTTGAAAACCAAAAAGCAAGCAAACAAACAAAATGAGTGTGAATGAATGGGTCAGCTCTACCCTGAGCTGTCACCTGAGCGGTCCCACGCTATACAACCTTAATAGTCTAGACTCCTTTTCTTTTAAATCAGTGATACTGTGTTTGTAAAGGTAGCAAGGTAGCAAGGCAAATAGGGAGATCAAGGACTCTATAGAAGACAAAGCCAGCCAGCACCAAAGCTGACGTCAGTAGGCACTGGGAGATTTGACATAGCCTGCTAGGCTCCACGATAGCTAATCAGTGGGTCAGGACAGAGGACTTGCATTTTGAAAAGCTGCAAGGTCAGATTGGTCTTGCTGGTCTGGGGATGATACTCAAGGAACCATGAGAACACAGTACACATTCACTAATGCCACTGGGACATCAATGCTTGAGTGTCCCTTCTTCTAAGGCCCACGTCTGCCCAATTTAGAAAATTTCCACAGGAAAATGTTCACCACTGAGGCATAGCCCAATCTTTATTCATCGATGATTTGGGTGCTTCTAAGAGAGGCAAGCTCTCACACTCTCAAAACCCGGGTGAGGAAGTTGAAGTTCAGACTGTTCCACATGGGGAAAAAGCAACAGTGGAACATTCTAGAGAGACAGCTGTAAAAGCATTTCACAGGAGCAACTTACGTTTAGAAAACTATGAAAAAAAAAAAAAAAAAAACAAAATTAGGCTTTTAATATGGTTACCATGCAGCACTCAAGTGTAAGGCTTTTGCCAAAAAAACATGATTGTATTTCTCCTCTGGGACATAGACTGAAGTTCCAGCAAAAGCCATAATGAGAAATTTGCAGAGTGGAGTGTTGGAAGGTGAGTAAGTGGCATGCCTTATTCCCAGATGCACATCTCGGTCGCCACATAGAGGGCTCAAATCCTAACAAGATTGGCAATTTGCAGAAGGTACATTAAACGGTGAACATTCCCAACTCCTGAAGAAAGTGCGTCAGCCGGTTGAGGCTGGTTCCCACAAACTATCTGGGAGCTGTAGAAGAACCCTGAGGTTGCTGTCATAATAATACTTAAGAGTAGCCATGTGAGATATTAAAGATGAGTTAAAATGTGATGGACAGGTCTAAGCTCGTCCATGAATCACTTGACAACTAAAGCTGACTAGAATGATACACAAATATTATTTTTTCCCTTGGACTCCTCCCCCAACCTTCAAAGTAACTCTTCAAACAAGAAATCCAGAGGCGGAGAGTTGAGGTCAAGTTGTTGATCATGACATATTTGCCATAATGGGTTCCTTATAATTAGAGCGCAATGAATAAGGCTTTAGATAATACTGGATGGCACATTTCTCATGTCTAATAGCTTTAGATAAAGCTGGCTAACTCAATGGAGATCTAAAGGTTAGAGATGTTTGTAATTAAAAAAAAACCAATAGGATTAAACCTTTCTTTAGCCAAGGTAACTTATCTTGAGGGCAACAGAGTCCTTTGTTTATTTCTTTTTGTTGTCTTTATTTATGTGCATACAAATGTGTCTGTGCCTGGGTGTGTGCACCTTAATGCAGGTGTCTTACTTAGGAGGCCAGAGGCATCAGATCCTCTTGGAACTGCCCAACATGGGTGCTGGGAACTGAACTTGGGTCTTCTGAAAGAACAGTATGCACTCTTATTTGCCAAGGCATCTCTCCAACCCCTTGGTCTGTGTTTTCCTAATTAGACAATTACTGCTTGGGTACTAGATTTTTCAGCAAACTAGCCGTCTGTTTGTGAGATGGGGATTCGCAGGCTACAAAGGAGAAAGATGCACAGGTTACAGTCAGCAGGCACAGTCTGACACACCGAGCATCCATGAGACAAGTCTAGTAACAGCTGGGTCTGCCTTGCCCTCCCCCTTCTCTCCTTCTCTCTCTCTCTTTCTTTCTCTCTTCCCTCCTTTTCTTTCTTCTCTCTCTTTCTCTCTCTCTCTCTCTCTCTTGTTTTCATTATGCCATGCCAATTTTGCTCTTTGTTTTTTTTTTTTTTATTAAGACATCGAATTCCCCTTTAATCTGTATGGATTTTCTTTTATTGGGCACAGTTCCCAACCAAAGAGTCTTTAAAATTGTTGGTGGCCACATATTCCTACTTTTTCCCTCTTCTTCCTTTCTTTGTGTGTGTGTGTGTGTGTGTGTTTTGTTTGTTTGTTTTTGTTCTTGAGACAAGGTCTCATTCACCATGCAGCCATGGCTGGCCTAGAACTCACGTAGATCAGGTTGGCCTGGAACTCATAGAGATCCACCTGCTTATGTCTCCGGAGTGATGAGATTAAAGGTACGTGCCACCACACCCAGCCCAATTTTCTTTTATGTGGTGTTAATTCATTATATAGTATTTTCCATTCTCACTGATGACCATTGATTTGCTGTCCAACCCTAGAGTTCATAATCACCGCAGATATGAAAAAATTTGTGAGCTAGAAGTCAACAAACAGGCTTGTTTTTCTTTCCAAACTCTGGTATATATCCCACCATGTACCCTGGTTAGATGACCTCTTGCTTCCGTCTAGGATGGAAAGGGCCCAGTGCACCACAGCTCAGTATGTGATATTTAGAACACAGCTAGATGACCCATTCTGATGGAACCCATGCCCTTTGGTATAGGAGACCCTCTGAGAGCCGTCTTTGATACTAAGAGGGAGCCTGGGCCAGGCCTGGACAGTTCAACAGTCCTGGAGGTGCATAGCTGTCACTGAGTTGGCTCTCATCACAGCATGGAAACCTTAGGGACACACACATGTCTGAAATTGTCTAACTTGGAGGTGGGGCACACAGCAGGGTAGTAGAGAACAGCTTTTGCACTCACCTGCCCTGGCTGCTCACACGCTGTCTGGTATCTGGCTTGCTGGCACAGTTCTTTGACCCTCTCATATTTGGGCAAGTGGTTTGACTGTTGGATATTCTTGCTGGATTCCTCCTTCTTTCGTAAAAATTTCCTTCAACAGAAAGGGGAAATCCTCTTACTGATGAGCACCCCCATTACTCACCCCCCCTCCCAGGTCCCGAATTCCCTCCTCCCTATCACAGCAACTCTGCATTCCTTCTGATGGGACTGCACAGATGTGCCCTGCTATCTGTGGGAGCTCAGTGCAGGCCGAGCCCTTTGTAACAAGTGAGGTGCTGTGAGGATGTAGAACCAGCTCAGCTCTGTATAAATACTCAAAGTTTGCTGGTGATGACACACTCCTTTAATCCTGGTGCTAGGGAGCCAGAGGCTGGCGGGTCTCTGTGAGTTCGAGGCCAGCCTCATCTACAGAGTGAGTTCCAGGACAGCCAGGGCTACATAGATAAACCCTGTCTCAAAAAAACCCAAACCAACCAAACCAAACTAAACCAACCAAAGAAACAAAATCCCTACAGGTTCTCTTTGTAAATAAACAATTGCATTAATGAAATTCTCCCTCTCTCAATTTATACAAAGAGAAAAACAAAGCAATGCATTTTACAAAACAGATACCCCAAAAGTGGCTATGTAAAGAATTACAATGGCACTAATGCACGTAAGTTAATAGAAATGTATACAAGTCCTTATAAAAAGAAGAGGAAAAAGACATATCCAGCAGCGTACAGGCAAGGCTGGCTGTTGACTTGCTAAGAGCCTGGGCTGAGAAGTGTCATGGAGACTCTGTACCCACGGAGAGACTCCAGTTCCATCTTAGGACAATCTAGCTTTAAGAGTTCTACTGTAGTAATAATGATTGCTGCCTGGCCAAGAACAGACAATCAGTGATTCAGACTGTGGGGTCAGGGACATGGCCCAGCAGGTAAGTGCTTGGTGAGCATGACTGACAGCTGAGCTTGGTCTCCAGAAACTATGACAGCAGAGAACTGACAAATCTGTCCTTTGATCTTCATAGGTGTGCCATGTGCACACTCACTTATAAATAAAATAAAAGGTAAAACAGTAAAATCAGACGTGCAACTGGGTTTGTGAAATCTGCATGCTTCGTAAGCCAAAATAAGAAGCAGGAAGAAAAATACTGCCCACTAGGACTAATTCCCAGAAGCACCCAGGAACCAATAATTACCCTCTTTCCACTAGGAACGTATCACGCCAAATTTTGGCCTTCTTGTTTGTTCGAAACCTGAAAGCAAAATAATAATATTTACTGTTAGCATCTGGATGTCTTCCCAAATGGATCTGTGCTAACAGTTTATTTAAAGAAACACCTCCTGCTTCCCACAGACCATGATTGCGTAGCCATCAATGTGCAATTCACGAACAGCCGAGAAAGGCTGAGTCCGTAGGAATTCTCATGGGGAAAGCTTATTTGACCGCCATGGTTTTCAGCACTGGTTGGCTTTGCTTACCAGCGGGAGCTTGGTATATTTGGGGCTGGTTGAGAGAGGACATGCAGACACACCTGTTACCTGGCTTTTCCAGGTCTAGAAGTTTGAGGACAGACTTGCCATCGATATCAGGGGGAGTGTCGAGCCCTGCAATACCCAGGATGGTGGGGGCTAGGTCAATGTTCAGGACAATCTGGGGGACTCTGTAAAGAGACAGGTGGTTCAGAGTATACATTAAGCAGGCAGCACACATCCACAGAGATTTTTTCTTTTCACAGCCACGACTCATCCACCTTCAAGATTCTCCTCCCTCTCATCTGCTCCCCTAGAGAGAAGTGAGTGGTAGGCAGCAATGGGCTTTCGAGAGGTCAGGGCTGGAGAGATGTCCTCTAACCATTGTGTATTGTGTGTATTGAACACATGGCCAGGTAAGATGGGTATTGGTACCGGGTACTTCTAAATGTTTTCATTATTGTTTTTAATCGTGTGTGTGTATGTGTGTGTGTGTGTGTGTGTGTGTGAGAGAGAGAGAGAGAGAGAGAGAGAGAGATGCTTCTTCTAAAAAGTGATATTCCAGGACTACTCCTGAATTAAGCTGAAAAGTAAATATTGTGAGGAACCACAGTTTTTAGTTTGCCTGATGACTAAGACCTTCTTCAATGAACAAACCTACTACAGATGCCTACACCCAGATGGTTTCTAATGAATTTTAAGGATTAACTTTACGGTGTCATACAAAGAAAAGTCTCCTTATGGCATTTATGTTCCTGATTTCCCTAGCCCAGCCTCTCTTTGGTCTCTTACTGGCATCACATAGTCTCTTGTTTGCTTTCATACACCGTACGTTCCACCTCCCACTCCCTGTAGTGATCTTAATAGACACGGGACCTTCCTCAGAGAACCCGGTTTCCTCCCGTCATCTTATCCCAGCAGCAGGAAAGATCCTGCACACAAAATTCACAGTCCTGGGCTCTGGGCTACAACGATGCCACTTCCAGCATCAAGAATTCTCAGAGACCAAACACTAAGCAGAGTCAGGGGAACCCTGCAGAAGAGGAGGAAGGATTGTAGGACCCAGAGGGGTCAGAAGAACAGGGCCCACAGAGTCAACCGAGCAGGCATCACAGAGACGGAAGTGATGGCATGGGGCCGGTGCGGGTCCGAGCTTGGTCCTCTGCATACACACTGTGCTTGCTTAGCTGTGGGGGACTCCCCGCAGTGGGAGTGTGTGAGCGGGTGCTGTCTCTGATTTTCTTTTGGCCTGCTCCTGGGACCCTGTTTTTCCTCCTACTGGGTTGCCTCATGCAACCTCGATGTAAGGGTGTGTACCTAATCTTCCTGCATCCTGTTAGGCCATGTGTCATTGATGTCCCTTGGAGGCCTGCTCTTTTCTCGAGGGTAATGGAGGAGCAGTGTCTCTGGTAGAGACAGGGAAGAGGATGCTGGGACAAGCAGAGGGAGGGCAAACTGCCATCAGGGGTGCATTGTTTTAGAAAAGAGTAAGTAAATAGAAAAAAGATGGGGCCAGGGAGAATTCTTCGGCAGGTTCTCATTCTGTCTGTCGGTCTGGTTTCTTGATTTTGCTTGAGTCTGTGGTAGACGATATTTGGAATTCTACTCCCAAATTTTGTCTCTTACCATTTCTGTAATTCTCAATACACATGATCTCATTGACAAAGCAAGTCAATATGGTAGACAAAGGACATGGACACCTGTGACTGTGATGAGGCTATTAGTGGAGAAAGGGATACAGGGCTAGTCTAAGTGACAGAAACAACTCATTTAAGTCTCTTTTATCTTAAAGGAAAGCCAGCCATTTTAACCCTTAATTAAAAGCTAAGAGGATGACTTTGGACTTTATAAAAATTGACATCAGACCTCTGATTCAGAGAGGGGTAGTGTTCTCCAAGAGCACATTCTGGCCATGTACATAGGGCAAACAAACAAACAAACAAAAACATGGCCTCTTCTCAGTTTGAGAGAACCAGTCACTGATACTTCAAACAGTTCAGCTGAGTTCCTCGGTGGCGGGGAAGGTAAATTACCATCTCATGTGCCTTCCTTTTTAGTTCCGGGTGGAAAGAAGCCAGGCACAGAGATTAGGATCTAACTTATCTTGGGTGCGCAGGAGCTGTGACAGCTCCGCGATGCAGAGGAATACGTACATCGACCCTGGTTCTATGCTTGGACCACGAATAAAGAAAGGCACGCGGATGTCGAAGTCATACGGCATGGATTTCCCCTTGACCAGTCCGAACTGTCCAATGTGGTACCCGTGGTCAGCAGTGTAGATGATGTAAGTGTTGTCCAGCTCGCCTGTCTCCACAAGCATGTTGTGTAGCTGCAACAGAGCACAGGACAAGTCAAACCAGGTGTGACGTGGGAGGTGACATGCCTGGGCTATGCCACCACTTCCCTGGGAGGACTTGGCTGGCCTAGAACTCACAGAGTTCCACCTGCCCTGCCTCCTGGGTGCTGAGATTAAAGATGTGCACCACCAATGCCTGACTCTCATCATTTTTCAAAAGCCAAGAGTTGCTTTAGTAAGGCTGGCAAACAGGGACATCATCCACATTGGGGAAATATCCTATAGTACAGTCAAAACATAACTTTATTTTAAATAACTTTATTTAAATCTAGCACATTCTGCTTACAGAATTTGTTTCCTGTTTGCTAAACAAGCAAACAACAAAACATGTCATGAAACTCTAGATTTCACTTTGAAAAATCTATGATTAAAGCAAAATTTAACTTCATCACTCCTTTATTTAGTTATAAGGGTAAAGAAGGCCCAATCTGGGCAGATCCAGTCTTCTTTAAAAAGCCATAAAATATGATCATTCTTGACTCCCATTTTTACACAGCAAACATTAACTGGAGTTGATTTGTTGCAGTTTGCATTGGACTTTTACCACAATCGTCCCCAGTCCCTGTTGCATGATATCAAACATTACAGTAAACCTGCTTTGATCACTGACATGATTTGTTTAATTTCTGAAAGCAGTGAAGGGTATGGATGGACCCTGATTTGTGATACTTTGATTTTTCTGTCCTTCGTCACTGACACCTTAAGAATAAAACTGGAAGAAGCAGGATAAGGGGACAGGGACATGGATGTCACTAAGCACACTTGTTTCTCTCTTTTAACACAATGTTAGGAAACAAAAACTGGGTAGACTAGAACGGATCTACGAGAGGAAGTTGGATGAAAACATGTCACCGAGGGGTTGGTGGCCTTACCCTTTCTACAGAGTCATCAACTGACATCAGAGTCTGGAGTCGTTTTCTCTGGAGGACATTGGTGAACTCCATGTGTATGGGCAGCATGGGACCCGTATACTGCATGATCCAGTGTTTGTCCATGTTCGGTGCATAATTATAGCTTGGAGTTCTGAAAACATGCAGGAAGCAATCTTAGTATATATACATATATACATTTTTTTACAAAAACTTAGTGACTTTGGGAAACATTTCAAGTTAAAGGCTGTGAAATATTCACTTCTGAAAGATAACTTAGTCACTGCTAAAGTGTTTTACTTCTCTCTAGCATTGTGAGATCTCTTGGTGTTTTGAGACTGTCTGCAGCCTTCACCATCCCAAACAGTACACATCCTCTGTAGGTATGTAAATTCACACCGATAATACTTGGACTGAACATGCAATTAATTCAAGTTCATCTGGGTCCCACGAATAAAATGTGTAAGCAGCATATGATGATGAGGATGTGCAGAAAGGAATGGCTTTGGGATGATGTTAGCTCACGAAATGTTTGTTGCTAAAGAGCCTAATAATAAAGTCACTATGCTATGTGGGTTGAGGATACCTCACAGTCTTAGTACACTATCTCTTATGATAATCTCTCTGATCACTTGTGCATCTTCAAGAGATTAGCTTGTTCTTCATGTTGTATATAAAAACTGTTAGTTAAATTATATTTGCTGGAATTATAACCAAGACTATGTCTTCAATTTTCACATTTACCAATAAATCACTTGCTTCATAGAGAAACCAGCAGGGGTTGAGGAGAAGGGTTTTGTTAGTTACAGAGAAGCGAGCCCTTCTGCTGTATGTAGAATAGGCTTGTTTATGCCTGCATTTAACGGGTTGCAGAGATCAGTGGCATCAGCTACACAGCCCTGGGGATGCAAATGGCCGCTCACAAAAGTCTTCTCTGATTCCCACAGATGCTACCATCTCATGTTCCTGAGGCACAGGCCTGTGTTAGCAAGATTCTTTTGTGTTTGTTTGTTTTGCTTTGTGTATCCCTGGCTGTCCTAGTACCTACTTTGTAGATTGGGCTGGCCTTGAACTCAGAGATTGGCTTGATCTGTCTTCCGAGTGCTAGAATTAAATTTGTGTGCTACCACTGCCTAGCATTATAGCAAGATTCCTATACCAAGACACTATTACTCATTCATTCAAGCCTTCTCTTCACATGCTATTAAAAGATCACAGGGGTGTTTACTGGAAAGTATTACACAACTTATTATACATTTTAACTAATTTGATTGTCTCAGCTCTTTTGGTTAATGTATTTATTATCCCTAATAATCTGTTGCTTTATAGATGAAGAAACCAAGGCAGGTAAATAACTCTCATAGCAAAAATGGTAGAATCATGTCTGGATTTTCACAGCTCACATACTTAAACAACATGAACCAAGGGACAAGCAAGGGATGCTCCCTTTTGAATTCGCAAGCTACCAGTCTCACAGAGAAAGCCGCCGACTGTATTGATTGGGGCATCTGTTTACCTGTCTCTGTTTTGGGGGTAGAAGATAAAGAAGTCTGAAGGGGAGTCAGGAGGCATCAGCGAGTAGCACGCTGATTCTGTAGCAATGGGCACTTCCCATACGGCGCTTGCATGTTTGCACTTGGGATGCTCTTGTGCACACCAAGCAACAACATCCGCTTTTCACCGTTTCTCCGGCCAGGAGGGCTGCAGAGCCCATTCACACCATAGAAAGTCCAAAGTGGCAGGCAGCAAGTATCATCTTGTTACCTGGTAACCCTCATGGTCACTACTTAAGCTCTGAAGGTACCATCCCCAGAAGCACAGCGATGCTTGGTTAGAGGGCTGGAGTACCCACTAAAGGGACCACCTGGGAGAGGAAAGGGAGCCCTAAATTTTCACGTGTATGAATGGGTGCAGGACACTCCTCGAAGAATTGCTAGAACACAGGTTTGCGAGTTTTCCTCCACAAGCCAGTAAGCAAATTCTTTTCATGTAAACATCTAGGTTTGCAACAATGCCATAATATTAAACTGCAGATTCTTCGCATGCCATCTACTATTCTTTTCAAGGGAAACGGACCTTCTCTCCTTTCCCTTTGTGAGACTATGTCAAAAAGGAACGTCCAACACTAGTGTTTGTTGCCCACCAGAGAAATGATTCTGGAGCCAACTGGTCCAGATCTTTTTCCTTGGAAGGATTCCTCCTTGCTAGGAACGGGCCGCAGTGGGAAGGGGGCGCCCGCACCGACTGGAGTCTGTCTCTCTCATTGTCTATGCAGCACTCCGTGTTACAAACAGGATTAGATTTAGAAGCCCAGAAGGGCAGAGGGGCTTTAAAATCCCCATGCAAAGGTTTCGCACCCACTGGAGGCGAGGGTAGGAGGTCAGAGAAAGACAGCGCATTGACCATGAAAGGTCTCCTAGCCATTTACCAATTGTGGCCCCAAAGGGGGTACAGCTGTAAGAGATTACACAGGGGTTCTGCATAATACGAATCCTCCACTCACCGCCTTTGAAGTTAGGTCGGCTTAATTTAAAAATAAATCTAGTTGACTTTTTTAAGACCACAAAACCTCAACGCAAATAAAAATTACAATTGGGAACCGACACGCAGGCTCACAGTGGGCAAATTACATCTTCCACCAGCTACCTTGATGTGCTCGGTTCAGCCCCACCTCACTTTGAGGAGCCGGGAAGCGTGGAGCAAATTACAAGCCTCAAATTGGACTCCTGGATTTACCGAAGGACATATGTTAAATCTGGCTTATATTAAAAGGGGGAGTTCAGGGCCTGTTGTCAAAGCTGTCCACCCCTCCCCCTGTAGTTTGCTGACTTTCTCAATGTGGGAGATGACCTCCAGCTTGGAGGGTGACATTCCAGGTGGGATCGCAGCGGGCAGCAGGGATCTGGGGCATGCGTTTACTGGCAAGGCTGCCCCACCCCCAAGAACAACAGCGCTTCAGGGATCTGCAAGCGGATGGTCCAGGGTTCCAGCACTGACAATATTGCTGAAAAGTGATCATTTGCCAAAGCCTGTGGCTGCCTCCTGCCGAGCTCTGCCAAATTCCTTGAAGACCAGCCTTCTGTCCCCCAGTGATAATGAAGGCTTGCTTGCCTGTGGACTGACTTCAACTGGCCGGAAGAGGGCCTGGAGCTGTCAGTGGGACTGCTTGACAGAGAGAAGTGGAGAGAGAATTCCTTGGAAACAGGAAAGGTGTGTTCACTTGTTCATGATGCTTGGGAGTCAGATCTAATTCTTTGTCCCAGTTTTGCGATGTGCTACTATGTGATTCTGTGATATGTGATTCTGGAGAGTTATTTTTTAGGGGGGGTGGGCAGCGGGTGGTGACTCAGTTTCTCTATCTATATGGTGGGAATAATGGCTGTGCAGAACTTCTTATACAGACGGCTGAGAGACTTTAGTGACTCCTGAACACAGCTTCTGGGGTCCCCGTTCTGCTCTTGCTTACAGGTAGCCAGGCTAGCTCACCAGGGTGTTCCAGGCTAGCCCACTGGGACATCCTACTCCCCTTAGACAAAGGAGAAAGTAAAATGCCCAGAAGGGTAGCTCTAGGCCACCGGCCCATCTGATGTCACACTGACCCAAGCTCCCAAGCACAGAGGTCCCCAAACTGCAGCTGTTACTTAAAATCCAGACCATGAAGGATCAGGTCACCATTTCTGAGTTTCTCTTCCTCCAGAACAAGACAAAATAAAGCAAGAACAACAAAAACAAACAAACAAAATAGGTCCCAACTCTGGCCGGGTAAAATTTCTGCCCTCAAAACGAGCGTTTTAAGCAGATCTGCAGATCTCAGAAACACACGGGTAGCTCTGCACAGACTTCCTGGGCTGTATTTGCCTGAAGAGGCTCCCTGCATGCCGTTTTCCCTCCAGCCCTGCTGTTTTTGGGTTCCTTGCTCAGGACAGCTTCACAGCCCTGGCTGCACACAAGCTTCTTTAGTATGACAGTTTATTTAGGGGGTTGAGTCACTCCTGGGTGTTACTTGTCAAGAAAAGAAGGACAAAGGGTCCTGAAAAGCCAACAATGTCACCTTTCTCTTTAGTGGGTAGGTATTTTTAAAAAAGGGCGAGTCTTAGTAGCCAAGAAATAGCTTCAAGAAATGCATGTGTTGTCTATTAAATCCATATTGGGGAATTGTGGACTTCATGGTTCCTTTTGAATATTGATGGCTTTTGCTGTCGTTTCTGCGCAAATATATCCCTTTTGTTGATGTGTTGAACATCTGCTTTCTTTATTTGTTTTTGAGTCACAAGCACCACCAACAAAAAAGACACTGATAGCATCTCACAGTGAGTGGTAAGGCAGGTCTCAGCGCTCAGCACTGCCCATGCTACAGGCCTAGGACGCACTTGCAAAGCATCACATTGGAAACTCTATGCTCATTCTCGAAAGCCACACCAGCTTCAATTTCATTCAAATTGAATTTACTTAATTGACTTGCTGGAGATATGCCCCACCTGACTTTAAATATCTTTAGGCAGATAAACATTTGCACACATGCAGAGTAAGAGCAAATGACCTTGATTATAGGAATACAATAAAAACAGTGGATTGTTTAATGATGCTGGAAGTGCCAATTGGAATTATGCAGATATGTAAGACCCACTCTGATATTTACTGTGGCTGTGGCATGAACTGAGACATGGCCTGGTATAGTGGGACAAGCAAATGGGACAAGGCAATCTGACACCTGATTCCAACTTTGTCCCAAACTATTCACGTGTTCTGAACAAAGTCATTTAGACTCTCATTAGATCAAACAAATGGGACTTCACTGTTTTACAAAACTAAAAAAAAAAAAAAAAAAAAAAAAAAAAAAGGGAACTAAGAAAATGTCCAGTTGCTCTTCGACCTCTTAAAATGTACTCTTGAAGAATCCCCTGGCATCTTTAAAAATATTTTCCTTTCTGCTAGCTGGAGAGGTCAATGTGATTCATTTGGTAAACAGAATTTAATTTTACAACTAAGTGAGGATCCAGGCTCCTCTCCCTAGGAGCTAAAGGGAGGTGCTTTGTCTCTGCTTTGGGGTAAAGCTGCTAGGACAGGATTCATAGAGTGGCCCTGTGGTCGTGCCCTTCTGGAGACTTGCAGCTAAGTTCAGGAACTTGGGTACACAGGGTTTCATCACAAAGTAGGAAGAACAGAGTAGTTCTGCAGAGAAGAGCAATTCTGCCCAAACTGTTTACGTTTATGAAGTCTTTAAAAGTTTTATCTTCAGAAGCGTAACTTTTAATTTTTTTTTTTTTTTTTTGTGGAAGGGATAAAAATACAAATTCTTGTTAAGCCAACAAACTATACAAATTTTATTGTGTTTTTAAATTATGTGTGTGTGTGCCTGTGTAAGCATGGGAGTACAGGTGCCTTCTGAGGCCATGAGGGAAATTAAGAGCTCAGAGGTGGAGTTACAGGCAATTAAGAGCTGCTTGATATGGGTGCTGGGTCTGATGGGAAAAGCTATTGACATTGAGTTTTCTCGGCCTCAAAACTAGCTATTTCCTTACAGATCTCTCTCTCCCTCCCTCTCTCTCTCTCTCATATGGAAGAAACAACTACTGAACCATCAGAGTTGATGGGGTACAGTGGGTAGGATGCATTTCTGGAAAGCTTATTGGGGCGCCTGCCTAGTGAAGGGCTTCATGATAAAGAGTTTTATGTGGATTTCCCTGTTAAAGCTTTTCTTGAATTTATTGGAGGCTAAGACAGGCCGAGCTACTGTCTGATTAAACAGGACCCCCATGCGGACAAGGGAGCGATACTCGGCTCCTATTCATAGTTGGGAGGCATAACCTCTCCCCTCAGTTTGTAAAGCCAGTGTGCGGATTTTGAATGGGCCTCTCTCTTTGTCAGAGAAGCAAACACCATGGAAACTTGATCCAGTCCCCCCAGTGTAAGAGGGTCAGATAGCCATGGCCGGGGCTGAATGAAAGGGAGCTGGTGATGTTTGGCCACCTAGGAAGACCTGAAGCAAAATGTCCACATGACTAACTTCCTGCACCGGAGGAGAGCCTACATCTCCATGCTGTTTCCACAGGGCCTGCCAGACATTTCTGCAGAGGACTTTGCGGCTAAAGGCATTGCTAATGTTTTCACTAAGGAAGCCCCAGGCATTCAGTAGCTCTATGCATCACAATCTGCCTCTTGTCTTGAATTTGTTTCGCTCCTTTTGTTGAAGGACTGAACCCTGAACCTGGGCATTCATTCCCTCCCTTCCTCTAGCAGCAGCCAGGGAGACCTTTGCAAGAAGGCAGCCAGGAACTCAAGGCTTCCCTGGCCTGTTGGAGGCATGCAAGTCTATCTCTACATGCTGGCTGTCCACTACCCCCAAGATTAGCCACAAGTAGTTGAATTTTCCCACCTGGCACTTGCCCAGAGCAAAATTGTATGTCTAGAAAAGATGACAGCCCAGACCTATTCTTTTTCGAATGGCCAGGTGTGAGAGGTCCATCACAGTGAAGTCTTAACTTGTCAAGGGATTTACCCTGTCACCAGGGGCAAGTGTGGACTTATTCCTCTGTCGACTCTCTTGAAATTTTGAGTTTGACAGCATTAAATTATATCATTTGTGGGTCAGTCTTTGACATTTGCATACAGCCGATCTTAATAGAGAGGATCAATAAGAACGAACACCAACAGAGCGACTTCTCTGTGTGTGGGAACATTACCTCTGTGACTTCTCTAAGTTTTGCTTATGACATCACATCAAAGAGACTCATTTATTTCCACTTACAGACAGAAGAGTTCACAGAGGCTTTGAGGCTAAAGAAACTGCCCCTGGCCTTAAGGGACAGGCGAGACAGGCCTGAGCACTTTCATTCTGCCAGGTTTTGCTTCATTGGATCAATGCTAAGGGCACACACAGATGGCTAGTCACGAATAGAAACCTTTCCCATGTGGAAGTGATCAGGTCCACTCATGTGTTCTTACTACCCTACTTATGTATAGACTCACTGAGGTCCCCGAAATTTTGCAACCATTTTCCCTTTAAGCTTTATCTCATATCGTTTTATTTGTAGCCTGTCCTACGGCTCTTAGATCATGTATTAGACCAGCGGTTGTCAACCTTCCTAATGCTGAGACTCTTCAATACAGTTCCTCATGCTGTGGTGACCTCCAATCATAAAATTATTTTCATTGCTACTTCCTAACTGTAATTTTGCTACTGTTATGAACCATGATTTATATATATATATGGAGATAGAGGTTTGCCCAGGGGGTCAGGAACCACAGGGTGAGAACCACTGTCTTAGATGATCACTGTGCTATACTCTGTCCCTGAAGTTATCTACCTTGGCTGTAGAGTCTCCTGCAAACATTTCCCCCTTCCTCCCAGGGCCACCCTGAATGCCTGTTAGTCCCTTCCCCCAGGGTTCTTTGGTGCTGAGCCTGTTGCTCTGAACCTGACACTTCTGGCCCTCTAGGGCTGTGACTACCTGGACACTTACCATCATCCCTGTAAAACTTGGATCTGGGCAAATTTACTATAAACCTTTTAAGTTTTATAGAGCATGTCACAGCCCCGCTTGGCTGGTGGATCCCAAATATGCATAACGAATATACATAATGAATGAGCATGGTTGTGTTTCAGTATAAGCTTATGAATACATGCTGGATTTGGGACACCCCCCCCCTAGTTCATTGGTGTTTGAGGGGTACCCATTGGGCCTTTCGTAACTTCCTTAATCTGTGCTGTATGATAACCTTATATATATATATATATATAGTTTCTAGTGTTAGAATCCAAGGCGCACTCTTCCGAGCTACCTCCCTCCAGTCCCACCCCAACTCCTCTCCATGTGCACTTACTGTTACCTGTTGCTTACTGAATTTGTAACTGAGCTACAACCGGGAGCCACCTGCTGAGAGGCCTGTTCCCAAATCCACCTGAAGAGTCAGTAACAAGGGAAGGATTCTGGCCATATAGTTGAGTTCAAAACTGGGCCAAACTGCCCGGTTGCTGAAGCAACTGTCTCATGTGTCTCCACTTTTCATGCAATAAATATCTGCATCCTTCTGGCACGGGAGGTGACCCACTTTGCTTCTTATTTATTATTAATTTCTGTTCTAAGTGAGCTCTGACCTCTTTCCTGTTAGTCTTGGTCCTGTGACTGAGGAAGGCCAGAGACAGAAAGATACTAAGAATGGAAAGAAACCTTTCTCCCAGGAACCCAATGCCTGACGATTCCGTCAACAGTCTCTTCTCCATCCCCAAGGCTCTTTCTGTCTGGGATCTCGTTTAGAAGAGCCAGGCAGGGGCAGCGTTTAAGCGCAACTGGCCCATGAATGCCCTTCCGAGGTCTGTGTTAAAGGTGCCTTTGGAATTGGGGTTGCTTTCAGCAGCCCGGGTCCCAGCTGCTCTCTGTGGAAGGCTGCATATTGGGCATAAAGGTTAGGAGAAACCCTGTCGACAGAGTCAACAACAAAATCACGTTCTTTGCTGCCAAGGCACCTAGACTTTTCCAGCCCTGGCCAGTGAGGGTTATAGCACACTGCAGCTCTGTTCTCTCCCTCAGGGGCCTCCCCTGAGCATCCTCACCCCCTCCTCACAAGATGAAATGTTAGGTTATTTGAAAGCCGTGACCTGAGAGGGCCTCCCAGGCAAGCTACTCCAGTTGCCTTCTGCATTGGCCTAATTCTACATCTGCAGCCATGCTGCTCCCGTGTTCCCCAAGAAAGAAAATAAAGTTACAGCAGAGAGGGAGCCGCGCTGGTGGCTCCGAACAGCAGAGCGTTCCCACCCATTAGTCCTATTAGGTCGTACTCCAGAACATCATTTACAACACAGGAAGGAACTCTAGGTGAAACAACCTCCCCTCGCACCCCCGTTTTCCTGGCGTGAGCCTCTTCGTTTAGCCACTGGCAGATAGATACTGGGAACGCGATTCCCAATCACAGCCCCCAGCACTTTGCGGTAAGCCTGGAGGCTCTGCCTACCCTGTGCTGTCCGCCTGGATTTTCTCATCCTGACAGCACGGGGCTGGCATTTAGCCACTGGGCTATGCAGAGTGGGAGGAAGTTGGGTGAAGAGGAGGCTAAGTTGGGGAGCACAGACAGGGGTGCATTGTTGGCTTTGTTACTCACATGTGTTGGGAGGCATTGGGGTACAGGTTTGAAAATTGTGGGGCGGAGTCTTCAGGGCCGTGGGGCGCTGCGTGGCTGACCACCATCATAACGGGCCTATGGGGATACATTCTCTTAGACATTTTGAAGTAATTAATGCTCTCGTTAGTGATTAAGTCTGTGAAGTAGTCCTGAAACATACATTTGACACAAAACAAAAATTACAAAAGGTGACATTCAAGATCACATTTGAACACTGCTCTCCTCAGAATCTACACACTGAGTATAGTATAGAGGTTAGGTCTAACCAGGAGAGGAAAGAGAGCCTCCCAAGGAGCCAACCACCTTCAGGGACAGAGAAATAGCCATGGCTATTCATTGTTAGGGTAGCTGGCTTAGCAACAAGCAGGGGAAAAGATAATTTAGCAACTAGGGAAGAAACGAGACAGGCTGTGTTTGGCTAAGATAATGATTAAAACAGGCAATATATATTTAAGAACCTATGAAAAACCCGAAATTTATCTCATACTCAGATTTCATTGATTTAATTTGTTGGCAAAACATTTAATTATTCCAAGGGCGGGAAACATCCACACCCACTTCACATTCACAGCTTCAGAACACACACACACACACACACACACACACTCTCTCTCTCTCTCTTTCTCTCTCTCTCTCTCCTTTCCAACAGTCTTTGACACCTAATCAGCCGTGAGAATGAGCAGGTTGCACTGATTTAATATTTTGAGAGAATCATGATTACTTTGTTCTCCTTAGGACAACGGGGAATAAAAGGTTAATAGCTTGAACAAGGAGCATGAAAAGCATCCCCGCAGATCGAAAGTGATAGCAATGTCAATTAGTGTGCATGGCATGCATCATTTGCTTGCAAAGATTTTGTCCCCAGCCAGGGAAATGACCCAGGATCCATGAGTGGTTGAACCATCCCAAGCTGAGTTTTCTTGTCTTTTACAATGAGGACATGGCTCAAATTTGCCTTCGAGGTCCCTGCCAACTCAACTCTCAACTTTGATGTCCAGAAGCCTTTCAACAGTGTGAGTGAGTTCGTTTGTGTTCATTGTTTTCAGGATGGCAGGAAGACCCAGCCTTACACTTTAAGACTTTCTGAGTCCATTGTGCTCTCATGAGGCCAGGCACAAAGACACAGCAAAGCCCAAAATGTAACCTAGTCCCTGTTCTCATTCTGCCCAGTGCCCAAGCCTGTTGAAACAGGTTGCTAGGTCCAGCTGAACTTTTGCTATTTCTACAAAAATGAAATGGGTATGTCCAGGAGGAAAGAGAATATTTTAGAAACATTACCATGCTGAAATTAAAGATATTCTTCCCTCCACTTTTACGATCTCAATTTTTCATAATTTAAGTTAGTAATCATAAAGAGGCTCTTTGTGATTTTTGTTGTTTTGTGCCTTAGATGAGGTCTCACCAAGTATTCCTCGTTGGCTTGCACTCACTAAGTTGCCCAAACTGGCTCAAATTCTACATCCATCTGCCCCCGCCTCCTAAGAGCTGGGCTCCCAGACCTCACCACTATGTCTGGCTTTCTTTTGTAAACTTTAAAATCTAGGATGTGCTTGCTTGGGAATCATGGGTTGTTTCTAGAGATTGATTTGGACATCCTAAGACTGACAGCATAGACTGCTCTAAACTCTCTCTGCCGTGGGGCAGATAGATGTCCTGCTTGGTTGGAGTAAAAACAAATAACAGTGTCCCAGAGTTCCCGGCTGCACGGGTCTGTTCTTATTTTCACGGGGAAGGCTGAAACCACCCACAAAATACACTTTCGACCACTGAAAAGCAAACAGTACAAGATGCACATTTGATTATGCGGACTAACTCCCGATGGAGGGGAAACAAAACAGCGCAAGACTAAGAAGAGGGGTATGATTTTCTGGATGGCACTTTCATCAAAGGCTGATTGCTTTCATCCTAACGAGGGAGAAGGAAAAAAGGCTCGCCAGACAAAAGCGCCGAGCCTTAGAGTCTTTCTTGTCTGGGGTTGGAAATTGCCTTACAATTTCTCATTCGGACATTGTGAGAACACAGAGAGCCCATCTTGCCGATAGTTTAAGTCCCTGGAAGTGCCGCCCCTCCCATTATGCACAAAAGCAGATTGATGCAGTTTTGCACTGGAAATTACCTTTGCATAATCAAATCCATGTTTTTCTTTGATGCCGTTGCGACAAACAGTGTAATTATAGAAACGAGAATTCTTGATTAATCCAAGCCATTCTCGCCACCCAGGAGGGATGTAGCTGCCATTATATTCATTGAGGTATTTTCCAAAAAAGGCTGCAATGAGAAACGGAAGATTATTTTTCTCACGTGAGATGATTAATCATAAACAAGGGAAGAGATATGAAATTAGGGCTTGAAAGGTGATGGCGAAGTGAAAATTCATCAGCGAAGAGCACTGTCAAAGCACTAACCCTCTGCACATTCTTCAGGCTGTGTCAAAAGTGACAGCCACCCCCCTTTGCTTTTAAATAAACGTGAGGAGAACTGAATACATGGATTATAATGACCATAACACTTTTGGGGATCTGCCTTGTAGGGCCAGCCTGGAGTCAATGCAGAATATACCCTTTTGTTGAGCTGACGGAATAAACTAGGAAATAGGCGGCGAGGGAATCAGCTGTGACTGTGGTGTCCGCACTGGGACACTGAGAGCTAGTCTTCGTGACAAAATTCGGTTTTTTTGAGTGGTGAGTCACAGAAAAGTTAATCTTGCTTTTCACATAGCCACACAGCAAAGTTTTGTCTTTTAATGGAAACTTTCTACTCTGTGGGGTTTTTTTCTTTTCATGTCTTGTTATCGTTTTATTGTTATTTGTTTATTCATGTATGTATGTATTATGTATGTATGTGTTTTTGGAGGCAGGGTCTGGCTATGTGGCCTAGACTCGCCTTGAACTGTCAGTCTTTCTGTGTTTGTCTCTGTGTGTACCTTCAAAGTGCTAAGACGATAAGATTATAGCCATGAATCTCCACGCCTATTTTTGCCTCACCTTGCGGTCTGCCCACCATCCCTGGACAGTACAGAGTTCCACCATTTCTAGCCATGACCATGGCGATGGCCCTTCCTTCCACGTAATCCTTCCTCTACAAAGGACTCCTTCAAGTCTGTTATTTGTTCTTGCTATTGCCTTTAGAACAGCCTCCCAGTTTTCGGTGTCTTTGTGTTAGTGGAGTGTGAAAAAATGTAGTCAGGATTTCAGATGCGGCATCACCCACCCAACTCACTACAGGAGAGCCGGGGGCCCAGGGCGCAGCACCCAGAGCTGGAGAACAAGTTTGTCTGATCCCTTTGGAGCTTCCTGTCGTCGAGATCATCTCTAATCATCCCTGGTTGCTTTGGACATTACATTTCTTGGCCATGCTCTGATGAACTGGGTTTCCAATCAATTCTGTTCCATGTATGCTGTTCATTCTCTAAAGTGAACTTGATTCTCAGGTCCATGTTACCGTGCCAATGTCTTGGCCATAAGCACTGAATTGTATCCCTCCTTTGCTAATGGCCTTCTAGACCCTTCTTTTCTTGTATACCATCACCATTTGCCTTCCCTGATGTTTAGGGAGGCGGTTGGAGTTGGAAGATGGGTAGAAAGGTAAGGAAGATTAGATTACGGACTATAGCTATTAGTGTGTGTGGTTGTCGTAGATGCCCCTCTAAGACACTTAGAAAAATGTGTATTAACTATCTGAAGAGAAGGGACTTCGTTTTCTCTCAGTAATAGTAACTATAAAATATTCTGATGCCTAGAGAAATTGAATCTTAGTTAGTAGAGTGAATGATGTATTCATGGCCATTTTAACATCTGTGGCAAGATTTCATTGTAATTATTACGGATATGATTGAGAACTGGGCTAAATCGTGATTTATACATTTGTATATATAATTCTGGTTTGCTCAGATACAGTGAAGACATCACTCTTTCTGTCTCTTTTTATCCCAGGGTCCAGTGTATTCCCAGTATGCTGTGGTTCAATAAACATATGTGATATTTCATGTTTATGCCCCTAACAAAAGTCCATGACATCATAATCCAAACAGGTGGTTATATTAGCTTGTCTTATCTTAGAAGAAGCTAAAATTAATTAAGTCCTTTACTGAGAATGCATAAATAAGCATGCTACAAGTAAAATTAATCTTATGTAAAAAAAAAAAAAATAGGAGGCTAGGTCAGGCTGTGATGGTGCATGACTTTAATCCCAGCCCTCGGGAGGTAGAGGCAAGCAGATCTTTGTGAGTTCAAGGCCAACTTACAGATCGAGTTCCAGGGCAAGCTCCAAACCTACATAGAGATACCCTATCCTGAAAAACCGAGGGGGGGGGATGTTAGAAAATAGGTAATTTAATGTAAATTAATTTATCACAGAAAAAAAGTATACTGCAAAGTCAAGTATACGTGTCTGTAGTAGGGGCTTAGACAGGATAGCTTGGCTTGAGGATGGGGCTTACGACCAGTCTAGGCACCAGAGTTAGACACCAGTCCACAGTCAATTACTTAAACAATTCATGGCAGAACGCAACTAAATATTACCCCTGCCTCTTATGGCACAAAACAGAACGGATGTGTCTAAAATTCAGCTCCTGTGAGTAGGTAATGTCAGCGAGCATAGCAGAACTGCCATGTAATTTCGGGCTGGGAAAGAAAACTATATGTTGGAAAACTGGCCTGAGTCCTTCAAATAGCTCAACAGCAGAGGAGGCCCTGGCCACAACCTCAACTTTGCTTCTGTCCCTTCCAATCAATGTAGCCCCGCAACCAGGGTTGATATGTTTTTTTTTTTAACCTTACAGGCTAAGTTCTATTTTAACAGCTATCCCGTCACTTGCTTCTTGTTTGTGGTAGATAATCCATGGCCTTCTCACTTCACTCCTCCGGACTAAGTGCAATAGACATAGTGTTTTTTGTTTTTTGTTTTTGTTTTTTTCCCCCTTCTTGGACATTTGAGCTCTGGCAGACTCACATTTTCCATGAGTAAAGTTAGAAACGTTTAGGCTATAACCAGTCCAAAAATACACCTAAGTTCCGAAAGAGGAAAATCATGTCATACAAGGGTAAATATAATATTGGATCAATTCATGTAAGTCCACGTATCCTGGATGCCTCCCAAAATAAGCTTCTCAGTAATTTGTCTTCCTGGAGTTGTCTTTCATAAAACGTATTGCACTTTGCATTCCCCTCTAGATGGATATTTATGTGTTATGTTATTTCAGTTTCCTTCACTATTTTTTTCTTGAGTCTACAGTTGAGCAGCCCAAACCATACGTTCATAATTAGGAAAGCAGCAACTGGTTTAGTGTCTTGTAATCTTCTGCCCCACCCCCTGAAGTTTGCAGCCACTGTTCTCAGTTAGATCACTAACTATTGATACAACGATGGCCTTATTTCCTGGGATACTTCTGTCTTTCCCATCAGAGATTACTTTCAGTTGCACAGGCCTTCAACGACATTGTGATGCTTAAGTCAAACCAAGGATCTCATGCACGCTAGACGAAACACTCTTTCCCTGACACACATCTCAGCCACCTGAGTGAATCTTACGCTTTTTCTGCTCTAAGTGTTTTCAAGGGTCTTTGCTTCTATGAAGGGATTCCTTACAAATGGGAGGGTTATCCCTTACTATGAATTCTGTCATTGCCTATGTGTCTCAGTTTTGGAAAGATGCTGCCTTTAGACTCAGCCTTTGTTTCTAGGAGCTGACCTGATGTCCCTGGAGAAAATCCCACGCTACAGCACAATTGTTGGGGTGCAGAGAATAACACACAGTCTTTATTGGGGTGCTTTACGGTTGGTGCTCACAGCTTTGTCCCAGACCCTAACATTTCTGAGCTGAGCCCTGTTCTCCTTTGCCAAGCTCTGGTGCCAGCTCTATCCCCAAGGACATTCCTCTCTCATAGGAATAAATTTGTTTCTGGGAAAAATAAGAGATTAGATTCAGCGATGACCGTATATGGTGGCACATACTTATGCCAACACTCAGAGGCTGAGGGGTTAGAGGTCAGCCTGTACTATAAAGCAAACAAAAACTCTTAAATAAAAGATCTCTGGTTTTGGCCATTGTAATGCAGGGTGAGTATGATGTGACTCGATTAAAACAAATACAAGTGCATACATTGCCACCTACAAGCAAATGGTTGACTTCCATGCTGGTGACCCAGTGAACTCGGCAAGGGATTCTTCCCAAGTTTGCTTTTGCTATCAGGAAGCTTCTTCCCTTGCAACCTTTCCACAGCGTGTACTTTATGAGCCAAACTTCCCCGTCACTTTAGGTAGACGCTATCATTTGTAATCAGGACTCCCCATTCCCTTGAGAGACAGGATCTGTTCTGCATCCTGCTGTACTCTGCGTGTCTGTAAGGCACTTTGGAACAAGGCAGGAGACAAAAACATGCACAGGAATATGTTCCTAGACACAGGCGGGCACAACAGCACATGCCTATAATCCCGGCACTCTGCAGGTACAGGAAGGATGATCCAAAGTTCAAAGTGCTGAGTGGGAGGTGAGCCCAGACTATAGGAGACCTTGTCTTAAAAGACAGACAACAAACGGATCCTGGAAACTGTGAGGTCAGGCATTCTGGGCTCCATCGACCATTGATGGATGGCTTTTTGCCCTTTGACAATAAGTCCTCGTGGGCCTTGGTTTCTTCATTAGCACTCCAGCCTCCCTCCAGCTTTCTTAGAACCATGCAAGACAACTAAAGTGCCCAGGACAGAGTGGGCAAGCTGTAGAAGCCCAACCTCTTCTTCCTCACCTTCCTGGGTTATCTCTGAAGAAATCAACACCCAGGTGCTGATGCTGCTCTAATCCCCACCCTTAGAGTCCCAGTCTTCCCAGATTCAGAGCCCGGGAGCACCAAAGGCTCAGATTTCACGCGCTTCTGTGAGCAGGTCCCATTTGGTGGTTACAGTAAGGAACCAGGCAGGCACTGGGGGACTGTTTGAAATCTGCTTCAGATCTGGCTACACAGTACTGGAAGTCCCTCTCCAACCATAAAACACAGCCAAGCCATCCTGGAACCCTGTGGGGATGCTTGGTGGATTCCTAGGATGAAAGGTGCTGTAAATTTAAATCACTAATGCGAGGAGAAGACACACCAGGAGCAGGTGCCCCCTGTAAGCCTCCACTGGCCTCACTCCCCTCTTAACCTAAACGGACACCCTTGAGACAGCGGAGGGGGTTTGCTCTGTGAATGTGATCCTCAGACGCCTGTGTGTGCTGGAGTGATCATAGGCATGATCAATAATTTCATCCACAAATAACAAGAACTAAGAGCCCTGGGGGCTCTCGGCAAAGAAGCAAATGACGACATAGTTCCTAATCTCAGTGGGAAAGACGGAAAAGAGATTCCAGAGAATATTTCTCTGAAATGCCTTAGTTTTTAACTTTAAGAACATATAATCTATAGGCCTGAAAATAATTTCCAATAAACCTTTTTGATGACATCTTCATTTCTGATGAATAAATCTAAGTGTTTCTTGGGGTGGGGATCTAAACAGAGCTTTTTTTTTTTTAGCATGCAAACTCTCCATATGCACCCTACTGAGAAAACTGGGGAGCACTGTTCAGTGCCGGAGAGTAAGGGCTATGAGGATAATGGTCCCAGGAAGCTTTTCCTCTTAGTCTCTGCCCACAGTAAGAAGCCCAGATCCCTGCCCAAAGAATCCAGTTTTTAAAACCGCGCTAACGGTAAACCTCATGTTGAGTGCAGGCTCAGGGTTGATAGCTGGTGTGGTAAAGACAACTCCCTTTCCGGAAGGAGTGGTGAAGACTTGATGACCGTGACCTCAGCTAAAGAAACTGCTAGAGTCCCACTAATTACATATGAATAAAGAAGTGAGCCAGGAAGGTCCACAAGGGTGCTCTCTCATTCATTTGTTCATTCATTCATTCATGACATCATCTGGCACATGTGCTGGGTCTGGGACTCTGAAGGAGACACTGGGCAGATTAAAATAACACATGGTTGCTTCATCCTAACAATCATCAGGGATTACCCACATCTAAGCAAATCCCCAAGTTCTTCTGTGATCCCCATTTGTGACTGGAGCGAAGCTTCATTCCTTGCTTGTTACCTAGGACTACTTCACCTTCTGGGGGCCTTTGTGGGAACAACGTTTTCAGGCAGCATCTGCTGAGGAGCCTGAGTCTTCTAGAAGGGATTTCACATTGGTACATTCACTGGACTGAAATCACTTCTCACCCTGACTTGAGTGTGGTTTGTCCGCTTTAAACTTTGAATGTTTTTAGACCTAATTGGGTTGCTAAGAGGAACTCAGTGCCTTTCCTGGGAGTGGATGCTGCCTGCAGAGCAGGTTGTTAGAAAGTGAGGCCACCCTTGTGTTTGTCTGTCTGCCGAGTGCACTTAACTTGTCCTTCCATTCTTTGCCATTTTAAGAGAATAGAAGCTTTGCTGGAAGCTGCCAGCATGATCTTGCACTTCCAACACCCCCCCTCCCGAAATGTGAGTTCCTTAGATTTCTTTCTTCAGTAGGAAACGTGTGATTCTGTAACAGCGACAGAACATGGACCATGGCAGAGAGCAGAGAGGGTGGACCCTTCCTTGTTGAGTCTCCTGAAACTTCTCATCCATCATATTACCCCGCGCAGTTTCCCTAATCTGAGACTGTGGAAGAAGAAGCAGCATCCTTTACCTGTTCTGTAGCCAGTGTTATTGAGATACACAGCAAAGGTCCGAGGCTCGTGCATTGCCTGCCACGAGGGAGAGGAGCAGTTCTCGTTGTTCGTGTAGACGTTGTGGTTGTGCACATACTTCCCCGTGAGCATGGATGACCTCGACGGGCAGCACATGGGTGTGGTCACAAAGGCATTGGTGAAGGTGGCCCCACCATGCTCCATGATCTTTCTCGTTTTGTTCATGACTTGCAGAGAACCTGAAAGGCACAGTTCTGGCACCGGTTAGCAAAGGGCACCCTGTGGGTACTTGCTTCCACGCTGTCTCTCAAGCCTCTCCCTCCCCTCTGCTAGCTTCCCTCCCCTTGTGTGAAGGAGTCGATAATTTGGTCAGTTCTTATTTCTAGAACGAAACAGAACATTTGGGATCTGAACATCTCAGACGTTCTGTAGAGTAAGCACCCCTTTTTAGTCTCTCTTCTCTTTAACCACGGAGGAGAAAGCATGCAAGCTAATCATGTAATTAAAGCCAGACTTTCAGATATGAGGAGGGTTCCAATGTCAGGAACCTTCCGGGACCTTTAGAATACAATAGCTTGTTACAGTGTAGCAGAGCCCTGTCAAAGGGCGGTAATAGCAGAGTTGAGCAGGCACAGCATTTTAGTTTTAATCTTATGGCAGAAGAAAAAACAAAACAAACCCCCTACTAAACAGAAGAGCCTCCAAAATATATGTAATCAGAGATGGAGGAGTAAAGACTGGAGGGGTTGGGGGGGTGAGGTGGGAGGAGGAAGGGGGTAGGGGTCTTTACTTGTCATCCTCAGGCAAGATAATCAGTGTATGCCCATGTTTCTGTCTGCCTGGAACTAGCTCCTGTAGACCAGACCAGGCTGGTTTGAACTCACAGAGATCTGCCTGCCTCTGCCTTTTTAAGGCTAGGTTGTCCTCTAGCCCAAAAGCATGTGCACAATTGTAAAATTGTCTATTGCAACTTCAAGGCTAAAATGGTAAGGCAAAGTTTCTAAGGAAGAGAAAACAATCTGTCTAAATCAGTTGACTGAAGCTGAAACGCATCTACTCCCTGCAGAGAGACAGAGGCCAAGCTCTAAATCTTTTCATGTCCTCTCAAGAAGCGCATCACAGAGTGCTATAGCCATTGTATATATAGCCATTGCATAGCCATTGCATAGCCATTGTATAGCCGTTGCATAGCCATTGCATAGCCATTGCATAGCCATTGTATAGCCATTGCACTTGAATCTTGGAGTCTTAGCGCTCTCTCTCTCTCTCTCTCTCTCTCTCTCTCTCTCTCTCTCTTTCTCTCTCTCTCTCTCGGGGTTCTCTGTAGCCCTGGCAGTCCCTGAACTCGCTTTAAAGACCAGGCTGGCTTCGAACTCAGTTTTCTAACAGGCTAACCTCCATCCAGAGGAAAGGATGAAAGTGTATGGTTTCCAACGCAGAAGAAAAACAAGAGTTGCACAGAGGCAAGTGACGAGAAGCTGCAGAAGCTGGACCCTTTCAGGACAGGGGATGGGGGCTTCTATGTGGGTCTCATTAGATGGGGGCTCCTTCTCTCTGGTTGTCATCCGGAGATCAAGCACCCTTTTGTAGCCAGAACATGACACACAGCGCATGCCCACTCCATGCCGAACATTTTAGTGGCCTCAGCTCTCTACCCTGATTCCCCTGTAGCACAGGGGACAAAGAAAGGACATTCTCTGCCTCTGGTGTCCAGTACACACACCATGGAGGACTGACAAGTTGCTGTGGATAGTTGCAAAGTCCCATCCCCCAAGAATATAAATATAGCAGTAGCAAGAAAGTAAGTCAAGGGGGGATTGGAGTGATGTTGGGGACAGAGGGAAGACAGCATGGGTGATGTTCTCTGGTGACAGGCAGAGCAGTAGAGCTCTGTGAATGGCTCACTGGTTTTTCTGCTGTGGAAAGAAATATGGTGTGTTTTCTTAATAAAATGGGACCTGAAAAGCGGAGACACACTGGGATCTGATCACAAAAATAAAGGCAGAGTAGGATCTGATGAGCAAAGAATGTGGTGAGCAAAGTTTGGACGGGTGTTCTTGCAGGAATGATGGTGTGTGGGTAGAAGATGACAGCCAAAGGCTGCCGAAGCCTTCCTTCCCTGCTGTAATCAGGACTCCCCATTCCCTTAAGAGACAGGATCTGAGGAAGAGATCCAAGGCATGCTGTAATTCATGGGAGAGGGCTGTGAGTTGTGTAATGGCCCAGATTTTCAGCACAAGAAGAAATCTGGGAAGGGGGATGGTTTCGTTGTTGGGGAAGAAGTAACCAAAGAGAATGTGCCTCGAAAAAGATCAAAGAGAAATGCATTTCAGCGGGGTTGCCTTTTACATTTGTGTTGGGTGATCACAGAGAGGAAACGTTCCAAACATGAATTGATGAATGGAGATGAGGAATTTGAAAGGGTTCTGAAAGGTGTCCACTAGCCTCCACCCCCTACCCCACTCCCCTCCCCTCCCCTCCCCTCCTCATTCTCCCTTCCCCTTCCCTCCTCTGGAGGTCTACTTGGTGTTCATTCACAGGAGTGGCTTGACTTTCGGAAAAAACAGCAAACTCTGCCTAATGGTCTATTCCAAAGAACCAGCTCTCTGAGTTTCCTTTATGGATCTTTGTTAAATTCAAATCGGCTGGAGGCCATCATCTGAGGTCCTGCATCTCGAGTGGCCACCTCCTGCTTCCAGGCACATTTGGACTGCAAATGTGGGGTGGAGGTGGGAATCTGGTTGAAAATGAAAACAACATAAACCCGGGGTTGAATTTTCCTTAGCCTAGTCCATAGTTGCAGGAACTGCTCAGCCAGGATTCTCCTCTCATCCCTTGTCAATAACTGAGCTAACTGTGCCGTGATGCTAACCAATTCCTCCAAAACAGATGAGTAAACAACATGCAGACCCGAGCAGCTCCTTGAAGCTCTTTGGGTTTGTATTTCTCATCTGTAGAGTGGAACTCTTCCCACTCATTCCCAGGGCTGTCAAGAAGCGGATGTCCTGATACTATGATGCTACGATGGGATCCCTTGACGCAAGAATGTTGTTGCTATGGCTGCACCGTTGGCACACTCCATATCCGTGGGTTCCCCATTGGGGCTTTCAAAACAACTGCAGACTGAAAGCACTTAAAAATATTAAAAGGATCCAAAATAATTCAGGAGACAAAATAAAAAATTGTGTCCTCAACATATGCAGACACTTTTTTTTTGTTGTTCATCATTCTTCAAACTAAATATAGCACAATTATAAATAAAGTAATTATGTGGTATGGGGAATTATGAATACTCTAGAGTAAATGGCAGAATATGCCCTCCATGTTATATGTGAGATTTGAATATTCAATGTGCTTGGTGTTTTCTGGGGGTCCTATATTAGTTACTTTTCTGTTGCTGAGATACAATGGCATAACCAAGGCTCATAGAAGTGTTTATTTAGCTTTATGGTCCCAGGGGTATAAGAATCTAGTCATGGGCTGGAAAGATGGCTTAGAGGTTAAGTAAGAGCACTGGCTGTTCTTCCAGAGGGTCTGAGTTCAATTCCCAGCAACCACATGATGGCTCACAACCATCTGTAATGAAATCTGGTACCCTCTTCTGACCTGTAGGGATACATGCATACAGAACACTGTATACATAATAAATAAATAAATAAATCTTTAAAAAAATTCTGGTCAGAGGCATGGCCTGTGCTGAGCAGGATGCTGAGGGCTCATCTCCAGTCCCCTGTGGATACCAACTCCCCTCTGCTCATCTCAACTCAAGCTCATGCTTGTCAACATCAAAGTTTTTGATTAAGTAGCGTTCATTCTAAATATTTAGGTTGTCTATTTAACGTAGCACAATTTCTCCTGCTAACCATTATCAATTCCGTGGCAAAGAATAACCTACTCCACAATGATAATTCCCAAATCAAACAGGAATGGTATCGATGTAGTAAATATTTTAATTAAAAGTACGAGGAAAAATCATAAAGTACTGTACTTTTCTGTCAAAACTATTCAGGTGTGTGTGTGTGTGGTGGGGGAACAGGATGGTTTCTAGGAAAACCAGGGGGGAGAAACAAGTTGGGGAAGGGAGAAGAATAAAGATAGTGAATCTGTCTGGAACATTTCCAGGTCACTAAAACTCATTGCTCCCCTCCCCCAGCAAGAGGAGCAAAAGGTGCTGAGGCCTGTGGGAATGCAAGGCATGCCTGCAGGGGGAAACAGAGGGGGCTCACAAGCAAAGCCACAGATGTGAGAAACTCCCCCCCACTCCCCCCCCAGGCCATTGTCTTTTCAAATTTCACACTCACTAGAGATATAGGTTTAAGAACTCTTCTGACTGCTCAAGGTAGCAGCCTGGAGTATTGGTTAAGTGGCAGGCTCTTGCTACAGGTGTTGGAAGGCAAAGGGGGAGATGGCTTTCCTGGGGAGTCACCTGAGGGGGTGGCTGAATTGCTTCCTAGTGGGGAGCTAGCCTATGGCTGTCTCTGAGAAGTGAGGGTCTTACTCTTCCGAATTAAAAAAAAAAATTCAAAAAGGAGGAGGAAGAGGAGGAGGAGGAAAAGAAGCATCACAACCAGTATTTTAAAGCCTTGGTCTTTTATCAAGACAGCATCTGACTATGTAGCCCTGGCTAGCCCAGGACTTACATAGTCTAGGTTGGCCTCAAGTTCACAGAGCTCTATCTTGTTCCTGCCTCCTAAATGCTGGGATTGAATGTACCACTATTCCTGGCTTTTTTTTTTTCCCTATGCAATGGACAAATAATACACATTTATAGGCTAACCCCACAGCTCTTCTTTTATTAGGCAAAGTATCTCCAGCCGCTTAAGGCATAATTCCACAGAGCTCTACGGAGAAGAGGGCCAGTAGGGCAGGGCCATGAGAGCCCTAAGAATTTGAGCAATGCCATGCTGAGTCAGATGCATGATCCAACCCACTGTGTTTTGTTTCTCAAAATGCGACCTAGGGACCATTTGGGAGGGAATGAGCATGTATTCTCCACCTCATTAATTCAAGTCGAAGAAAGTTAAGAGTTTTTTGAGCATTTCAGAATGTCTTTCTTTTGATGTGTAAAATATTTGAAAAGTGCAGGCCAGAGCAGAATGAATCACACATCTAGCTTTTATTAAATCTGACAAAGGCACAGTCCCTGCACACACACACACACACACACACACACACACACACACACAGACATACACATACATACATAGACACACACATACACACATATACACACATCCACACACAGGCACAGGCACAGGCACATGCACACACGCACATACACACACACACACACAAACAAACAATCATAGACACACAGACACACGCACACACACAAACAATCACACACACACACACACACACACACACACACATACTATTGTACTCGAGTCAAAAGAAAACATGAACATTGTGAATGACCTTGGAGACTTGTCTCCCCAGAAGTAGCCATTATCCTGAGCTTCACGTTAATCATTTTCATGCTTTCAGAGTGGTGTGTGGGCAGTGTCAGCAGGGAGAGAAGGGAGGGTGTGGACAGAGTCATCAGGATGCATTGTATGAAAACGTCAGCTAACAGACAGTTTGTCAGTTAAAAAATAATAATAATAATAAAAGACTGTTACTCTGTCTCCCAAGCACTTGCATCATTAGAACTAAAGGCAAAATCAGGGGCTTCTTAAATTCTGGAAGAAGCAAATGTCAAGTGGGAGGATGCTGAGGTAGGTGGTGACCTCTCCCCATGATCATTTCCTCCTGGGATGCTCTCTGCTGTCCATCCTGCCCACTTGGGTGAGATGATGAGATTCATTCACAGCAATGTAGGTGGGTGTTCTCTCAAACCACACGTAAGGTTCTAGCACATTCGCTAATGAGTTCCTCATGTGGTGTGTTTTTTTCGCTTTATAAAGTACTAGTTTGTTTATTTGCCCTTATACTTGAGGACAAACCGAATGCGTGCCTTCCCTTCCCTGCTTTATCCTTAAGTTGTAATCAGAGTCCCGTCCAGTCTCTGTCTTTCCAGACAGGGTCAGGATGGTATGTATCATTCTTTCCAAAGAAGAAAAATGTTCTATTAAACATTTTATAATTTTTCCTTAAAAGTATTTTCTAAGTGTGTAGTCGCTTCCTGGAGGTGCGGCAGCCAACTGCCTGTAGCCTTCAGGAGAAAAAAGTGTTACCAAAGCAATGGCCTATTAGAACAATTGACAAGCGAACTCGCATGTAAAACTGAAAACTAACACAAACTGCAACTCATCCAAGTCACAGGGAGATACCACCTTGCACACTGGACAAACAAACACAAGAACAGACAAACGGAAACACAGCATTCAACGGTAAGCATCTGGAGGGATTTCCACTCTTGTGCATAGCTGGAAGGAATGCAAAGTGGTGTGGTTGCTATGGAGAACCCTGTTATTTCCCACAATGTTAAAAATGAAATTAAAATACGATCAGCCATTGATCCCACTTCCCCGTAGAACTTTTCCCTTGCAAAGGAATTGAAAATGAAGGCTTGAAGATGGTTTCATACGCATGGTCAGAGCACTGTTATTCACTTGTGCTAGAAGAAGAGAAACAACGCCAGTCCCCAGCAGTACGCACGCAAGTAAAACAAGTGGGAATCATGTGGTACACAATCCTAGAATGGAAATTCTCAGCCGTGTTACAGCATAAATGGGCCTGAGAAGCATCGCTGTGTGGATGAACGGCAGTCACAAAATTTCAGATATATGACTCTACTCACAAGAGATCTAGAAGAGTAAAATTTTAAGACACAAAGTATAATGGTGGCTGCCAGGGCTGCGGAGAGGTTCAAGCAGCGAGTCGTTCAATAGGGGAAAGTTTCCATGTGGGTTGTGGAAAGGTTTTTGAAGGTTGCTTCCACACCCGATGAATGTAGTTAATGGCTGAACTGGCTAAAAATGGTGATGATATTAAAACAAAGAACAACCAACCCTGCAACAGGTCGTGTTTCACTAGGTAGATATAGGGAGAGGTTGAGGCAATAAGACTCAGCAAGATGGGGGGGGGCGGGGTAGTGGGAGTGTGGGGTGGGGGACAGGAGGGAAAGGAGGCCAGCACATGCTTCGGTAAGCAAAAGTCGCTTGGATGCACTGAGGAAACTCTTAAGGGAAAGGAAGAACCCTGGAGAATTACCCGGGCTGGGAGGCCTCAGCTAACTTGCCTGTAGAGAAGAGAGGAAGAATGTCTGTCACTCAAGGGTTTTAACCTAAGAGTGACTTGATACCATAGTTCCACGGTGGTAACTCTGGCCATAGGATGTAGAATGAGCATGACGGGATGAAGAAACAGGAGAAACAAGAAGGGTCTAGAGATCTGTTGCATGAGGGAGGCGAGACCTGTGTTAAGGAAAATGAAGTCAGGGACGAGTCCTAAGTTTTCTTGTCCTGTAAGCAATGAAGGCATTTAAATACCCGGAAGCATCCATCCTAAAGCCGTATGTACATGATCTTTCATTATGGAAAAAGCCCTGAAAAATCAGTATACTCTTTCTCTTTTGTTAAATATGAAATGAGATCGTTACTCCTACTGGCCCACATAGTACACTGGCTCCCAGCTGAAGCCCAGGAATTAACTTTGTTGTGATTCCATGGTCTGATCCTCAAGACCAAACCTTGGGAGTTACCCCAAACCCTCCCCATAGTCAAACAGAACAGCACAGGTAAGTACGTTTGATCAATGCCCGAGAACAAGCAATGGGCTACAGGAGCAGAAACAGGAAGTGGATGGGCTACAGGAGCGGAAACAGCCTGTAGGACAAGCCTTTGCATCTATCTGTCTTGGGGTATTCAGGAAGATCCTGGCTGTGAGCCTGTAGATAAGCCCCCAGGGCTAGACTGTTAGAGACAGCAAAAGGTCAGAGGTGAGCCAAAGCCACTAAATCCTGGCACACTTCATTTGAGTGCTCTTAATGAACTCAGGAGAGATACCTCCAAAGGGACAACTCCAGGCATGGAGCCACCACAGGGATACATTGAGCACTGTTAAGTCTCGGGCCCGGACACGGTGGCACACACCTTTAATCCCAGCACTCAGGAGGCAGAGGCAGGCAGAGCTCTGTGAATTCGGGGCCGGCCTGATCAACATAATGAGTCCCAGGCCAGCCAGAGCTATACCTTGGGACTGTCTCCCCCCCCCCAAAAAAGAAAAAATTCCCCATTATATTAATCTTTTATACACATTCAGAGAAAATGACACTCTCATGAACTTTGACACACTCTACTCACGCATTTCATAAATTAACTCCTTTTCACCGTCTTTTCTTTTTGATCCAGGGTCTTATGCATCTCGGGCTGGTCCCAACTTACCATGTCGTTTAGTAAGGACCACCTTGACCCCCTGATTCTCCCATCTCTACTTTCCAAGCACAGAGATTACAGGATGAGCTCTTGGTCCTGTGTTTGTAAAGTACAAGGCCAAGCCCTTGGTCTCAGAGGCTCCCCAGGCTTCCTCTCATCCTTCACGTTCGTGCTGGCTCCCTGTCTAAAAGTCTGTTTTAAAATCATAATACCAGAAAAGTAATGTTGAAACAAATCCCATATTGTAAGATCAGTACTAGATGACTGTTAGAGAGAGCCAGCAAAGCACCAATCCCCCACAGGCCCGCTGAGGACCTCTGATACAACCGAGGCTCTCGAAAGCATTAGAGTTTTCAAAAGAGATTGACAAGTGAAAAACAAAAAATCTCGGGTCCTCACCCAGCTCCACGTCCTGGTCATCGGTGAGCACGAGAATAATGTTGGGTCGGATGTTCTTCCGCTCCTGCTGTATCCTTCCTCTGAACCTCTGGGACCGCACAGCGGAACACAAGCTCCCCAGCAATTCTGTGCCCAGAACAGCCAGCAGCAGAGCCCAGCAAGCACACTTCATTGTACTTGGTCCAAGGTTCCAAAGCTGACAAAACGTCTGTCTTCTGAGTTCTGGTAGTTGGGGTGTAGGGACTGGGGGGGGGGGTGTCAAGAGAAAAAGGGAAGAGAGGAATGAAAATGAAATCCAAACCTCAAACTCAGTTGTAGCGGGGGGGGGGGGGGGGGGCTACAAAGAAGCCAGAGCTGACAGTCGGGCTGGCAGCAAGGGCTGCCCATGAGTCAGAAGGATCAAACCCTCACTCGCACAGGGGAGGTTTTTTAAGTACTTGATTATTTTGCAAAATCGCTTTTGTCCTTTATTCTCCGTCCAACTTTCCCTGTTTCCATTCATTGCCAAAGTGTAATTTGCAGCACGGAGCTCAAATGTAAAAGCTTTCTGACAAGAGCTAATACCTTGAATTAGATATCCTGGTTGAATAATCAATTTCTAGACTCAGAGGTTTTTCAGAACATCTGCGGATGGGGTCCTAGAAAGGAGAGAGAGGAAAATACAAAGGCAACATCAGTCCAGGGTTTCAGAACAGACTTTGGATCTGAATTAATGTTTTCAAACATGTTAACAGGCGGATTTTTTTTTCCTTCTCTTAAAGGCAGAGAGGGTAAGACAGAGAACTGCTGATCAGTGACTCAGATAGCATCTCCATTCGCTAAGTGGCTGCACAAACGGTGGCCAGTGCATCGTCTCTGCTCTTTAAAAACCCCCACCTAGGCTGAATACGGACGAGAGGAGCTGGCCACCGGGAAAGTACATCTGTGTGTGCAGTGGCTGGTGCAGGGCAGGCTGGGGGAGCCTTAATCACCGCATCTCTTACTCTCCACCAAGCAGAATAAAATGCAAAGCTGTCCTTTGTCATCTGCATTATGTCACTCACTACCCAGGAGAGTCATCTGCTCACAAAGATTTCTTAACGAGTAAGTGGCAGAGCCACCTCTTTCAGCCACTGAGAAGCTCCGAACTGTCCCCATCAATCACCAGTGGCAAAGCACTTCTTGACAGCAGGCTGGTCCTTCTGTTCAGTCCTTGGCTCTCACAGTGGCGCCTCAGATGACAGAGTCCCCTCCAGTCGTCAGTCAGTCTCCAGGCTGACCGTTGTCAGGACAGAGTTCAGAGTCCCTAGCACAGGCACTGGCTTTGCTGGTACTGATCTAAGCCGGCACAACGAGATGCCTGATTGGCTCTGAGGCTGGGGGTGAGAGGCCACCCTTCCCCATTAGAAAATAAAATAAATGAAATCTGGAGGGGAGGGGAGGGGAGGGCAGGAGGGGAGGGGAGAGGAGTATACCAGAAATCTTTGCAAAGCTGCACGGGAGGAGAAGTCTGAAAGGGTTGGGGGGAAAAAGTCCCTCCACTTTGGAACACTAATCTGCAGAAAGCTCATCTCTCAGACTTCTGAAAGGCAGCGAGGGGGCTCTTTTATTTTCCCCCACTTCTGTTAGGCCACAAAAGAAGCTTTTCATGAAACTAATTAGATAGCAGCCCACTTCACCAGCCACTCCATCTCCGCACCTGAGGGTCTGTATTTTGATGTGCAACAATAAACTGGCCTAGGATACATGAGCGGGACTGCCTAGATGCAAGCATCGCAGAGCAGGGGAGGGGTCCCTCCCTCTCACACACGCACGCTCTGAACCCTGGGAATGGACAGGAGGCAGCAAAAGAAGAAAGAATGCCTTCATTCCATCACTCACATTGCTTGTTTTGTGCAAACATATGCATATTCGTGCCCCTGTTATTTTAAAACTTTATAAAGTGTTTTGTACACAATTCCAGTGTCTCTCACTCTGCAGCCTGTAATTACCCTGTGTGTGCGTGCGTGCGTGCGTGTGTGTGTGTGTGTGTGTGTGTGTGTGTGTGTATGCATGGTGCTCAACACTCAACTAGTAACAGATTTTTGAATAAAAACTTAATGCCTGCACCGAGTCTCTCCTAGGTAGCTAATTGTCTGCAGGGCACACGTACAGCAGCTCCAACTGACCCTGGGCTCTGGGCTCTGGGAAGTCAATAAGTTGGATTCTTTGCTTTCCCTCCTTAAGTCAGGGTTATTCCAGCAATTGCAGTGCCTGCTAACAACCCCAAGCCTGCAATTATTTTGCACTGACTGCCTGGTTTCTGTGCACTTGTTTTAAATCACTAGAAACCCGATCCAGGCACGAAGGAGAGGGCGGAGGAAAAGAAACTAGACAGCGAAGAACAGCTTTTTGCCACGAACGATGGGTCAGGCTTAGCCGTCCAATAAAGACCTTCCTCCCTACAGGGCTGGTCCTGTAAGCTTTGCACGGCCTTTCTCTCCTCCCAGAGGCTGCAAGGGTGTGTGACCAGAGAATGAGCTGGAATTTGGCTCTCCCGCTTTGGCTGCACCCTCCGCTAACAGGGGTGGCGTGGAAACATAGCTCATGGCCGCGACTGCAGTGAGCCCACATGGAACGGAAGACTCTTGACAACCAACGATGCTGATAACCCTTTCTGGAACCCAGCCACTGTGACTTAGTTATTCTTTTCTTTATCTCACTTCCTTTACCTCTTCCTTTAGGAAACAGGAAATTAGCACCTGGCACCAAGTGCATTAGAAGCCATGTTGTAATAAGGAACGGTGGGGACAAGCGATGTGGCTCCTACCCTTAAGCTAAAGGTGCAAATGAAACCTCCAAGGAGACCTCAGTGGTCAAGGGCGCTTGCTATCATATCTGAAAACCTGAGTTTGATGCCTGGAAACCACACGGGGGAGGGAGGGAGGGAACAGATTGGGACACATTGTCTGCGGCCGTCCATACTCTTCACTGTGAAACGCGTATATTCATTCGGTTTCAGCAATTCTTGAACTGCGCGATAAATTTGTTGTTACAACTATCCCAGATCCGGTGGTGAGCAGAGTGCTGTGGGGGGAGGATGGAAGAGAGACAGAAAGGCATATACATGAACGGGAAGGTCTGGGCTCTTGAATGGAGAAGCCTCAGCATCCTGAAAGCTCACTATGTACGCTTATTGTACACACATAACCAGGAGGTAGGGTTCACGCTGTACAGTGGCATCAAGTTGACAGGCTTAGCTAATCTCCGCTGGAGCGAACAGTCTTTCGGCCATACATATCCAGGGGTTAAGAGAACGGGTTTTCTGCACACGCTGTCAACACCCCCACACCCAGGTCCTGGAGGATCCACTTGGGTCTTCGACATTCTCCCGAGGGTCTAAGGCTTTGGGGTCCTTGACATGGTTGTTCGCATGTCAACAGTACAGACTTACTCAGGACTTCCTTTGCATCCTACAATCGTTGCTGTACTAGCATGTTTGTTTGTTTGAAACAAGATCTTGCTATGCATCCCATGCTGGCCTCAAACTTTCAGTCACTTGTCTCAACCTTCTGGGTGCTGGGATTACAGTATGTATGTGCCACCACAGCCAGCTCATCACGCTGGCGTTAGCAGTGGTCGGCCTGACGTTCAATAGACCTAGAAGGCTGATTCATTCTGGGTAACTGTAACTCTGCATTCTTTGGCACGGCCCACCCTCGCTCCCGGGATGTTATGAGTTCAGGAAGGTCACCCCTAAGCATATAGAAAGGATTATAATAAAGAGAAACTGAACTTTGGGACTCTCCCCGTGTCCCAGGTCACTTTCCAAAAACCTCACACTGTAGCACCCTAAAACACTCTGGGGGCTAGAGAAATAGCAAAGCTTCATGAAAGTGGGAACTAGAAAAATAGCTGAGTGGTTAGGAGTGCTTGGAGCTTCTCTAGAAGACTCAAGCTCAGTGCCCAGCGCCTACACGGGACAGCACCTAGTGTCTATTACCCCAGCTCCCGCGAACCTAAGTCCCTCTTCAGGACCCGGTGGGCATCTGTACACATGCATGCATATCCCTCCCTGTACCCACGTAATTTAAAGATAAATATTTTTAAAAAAGAAACTATTGTAAGGTCAGGGGCTCAACAGTAGAGTACTTGCTTAGCACGTGTGAGTTCCGTCCTTGGTATGAGGTTGTTGTTTTTAACAACCAAAGCCAAGGATGCACACAGACAGCTCTTTATTCAACGGTGACCTTTTAGAACCTGTCATCCTCTCCCCGATTTCCAGCTCCAGAAGGAAATAAAGTGAGGAGGGAAGAAAGAACCCTGAAAAAAAATTATACAGGACTTGACAACAGAGACAAGTTGCCATGCTTGCATTGGATACTTTGTGGTGGGTGATGTGTCCTTAGAGACCAAGGATCTGTCTTGAAAAAGAGAGCCTCTTTCTCTCACACATGGCAAGTGAACTTGAGGGCGGATGCTGTACTCTCAAATTAAGACCAGATACAAGTTGTCTTTCCTCCAAACTCTAAGATGAAAACCCCAAATGTGGGCGTTGTCATTTGGTGTGTGGGGTTTAGGGGGATTTGTTCAGGGCAATCAACCCAATCTACGCATGTGGCATCTTGTCTGAAGTCATCTGTAAAATAAGGAGGAAGACTAGCAAGACTTCAAGCCGATGAGAGAAGAGTCTGGCTGTGTGAGGCTGACAGCAACACCTCAAAGGGGACCGGATTCCTTGTCTCCCTGTAAGGTTAAGGGGGCTCTGGGATTACAATGCCCTCAACGTAGACAATTAGTACTGAGGGTCAATGGCAGAGCATCTGTCTAGCATGCACGAGTCCCTGAGTTTGATGCACAGCGCTACAAAATTAAGCAAGATGGACGGAACCAAAAATGCTCATAGAGCCCAGCTGTTGTCCACGGACACAATTCTCTATGTTGTGTGTGAATTTTGGGGGAGCCCTTCAGTCTTTGCCAGAGGGATATGAGATCAGACTTATTTTGATAAGAATACTGAGACATGATTTTTTTTTTCCTGCCTTGGCCGTATTTTTCCCAACGCTGTAAGAACAATGGTGGGGAGGGGCTTCATTCGCCTTAGTATGAATGAAGGAGGCCCCATATCCAGTTTAAACATGCCAGCTTCATTTAAAGCAATAAAAGGATTACTCTTATTAAACCTTGAACTTGAGCACAAATTTTGCTTTTACTGCCCTGTTGATAAGTTGAGAGGCACACAGAAGCCCCTGTCTCCACATGTCCATGGCTTTCTCAGGAAAAGCACTTGGGTTTCGGAGCCTCAAGCTAAACTAACCATTCATTTATCCACAGAACAGCAGTGTTCACTTAAAACGATTATTTGTGTCTGGGTGTTTTGCAGGCATCTTCTCAGATAGTGAAATGGGCCTGTTACTTCAAGGGTCAACAGTGACATTATTTGTTACTAATGACAGAAATAAAGCTTGTTGCTTTCAAGCTAAAATCAGCAGTTCATAACATATGCCCAACCTATAAGCATGCCAGCTTCCTAAAACATAAAACTTATTTTCAATCACAATGGTGGTGATATTAATAAACTATTCTTTTAATAAAAATGAGATTACCTTTTGATATTGCTAAATAAAATGCGTCAAAATTTGTAATACTTGTATAAATCGCTGAACCAATGTTTTCTCAA